GCGCCTCGGTGGGGGGGGGGGGCGAGAAGGTATCAGGAAGTCTCTTCCCTAATGCAATCGTTATTGCATAATTGTCCATATTAGGAAGTGACACTCCTGCTGGCTGGGCCTGCTCTACTCCATTAGGATAATTTTCATGTCCCCTTTTGTCGGGGAGGGTTCTGAGCTGGGACCCCCACCATGCAGATGAGGGGCCAGGTGCTGCAAGGAGAACTGACTTGCATTGGAATTGAAGGCCAATCCAGGAAGTTCCCAGCTCCTGTTTCCCCTCTTTAACTCTCTAGACCATGTCGCCTTTTGCAAAACAACAGATCCTTCCCAGGCAGCAAAACCGCCCACAGCCTCATACATGTCTGCCCCCCAATCCCGCAGTGCTTCCTCCCTCCTGCAGCTGATTGTCACATGATCTGATCAGCCCTGCTCCCCTCCCCTCCCCTCACTTCTCCAGGCTGCGCAGATTTCGGTAACACACCTTAGTCAGTTGCATTCTTGTTCTGCTGCCTTTGCTCTGCCAGGGAGACTGACAGCAGACGTGTCCCCAGCATTCGGAGCCAGTACCCCAGCCCATGAGGTCCCTGCGGCTCCCTCCGGCTTTTCCTCTACGCTGCTGTTTTTTCCCTCTGGCTCTTTGAAACTGCCTTGAAAACTCCCCTTCCTGTCCTGCCACACAGTCTCTTAATAATATTCGCTCCATGCCAAAGCAAAGTTAGCTAGTGCCAGCGTGAGCTGCAATCTCACACTGTTAGGGGCTGTAAACAGATGGAGATAGGAGACCTCCGAGGTGCAGCCAGGGGCTGCTGGGGAAGGAGTCATAACCTTTGGGGCTAATAACAGGGATGGCAGAGGTGGGGGTGGATTTAAAGGGTGAAGGGGACTTACTTAGAGTGCATGAGGCCAAGCAGTGGAAGAAGATAATTGGAAACATATTCCTGCTCTGAAACCCCTCCCGAGCAAATAGATCCATGTGTTGTGGATACAGGTCTGTGTGTGTGTGTCTATTTCCTTCCAGACTTCCGGCTCAGGGTCTACAAGCCCCCAGATAGCCCCCCTCAGCTCGGCTCGCAGGAGGAATGACTTTGCTTTCCCTCGTATCCAGGCCAGCCACTTGGCAAGGAATCAGATCAGATAAGGAGAGAAATGGCGAACCCAGGCTGCTGAGGTACCTGCCTCACCCCTGTGCCACCAAACAAGCTGTGCAGACATGGGTGGAGGTCCAAGAGAGCCAGCCAGAGGGGACTAGCAGCAGCTCCCTGGCTTAGTGCCCTACCCCACAAGGTCATAAGTGTGGGTAGGAGCCTCTGCCATCCACATGCTGCATTAACTGATGGTGATGCCACAGGCTGATGGAGCTTTCCATCTGCAGAGCCCTTCAGTAGGGGTGGCAGAGGGGACGGGGCTCGTCTGAGGCCTTCCAGTGGCAGAAGAGTCCTGGTCTGGCACTTGGAACCGACCCTCCATCCCATCCTCTGGCTGCCGTAACACCGGCAGGGCCTGCTGACCTGCACAAGTACCTGGAGCCTGGAGCCAGGGCTGAGAGGAAGCTGGATTTAGTCTCTTGTGCCGTAACACCGGCAGGCCCTGCTGACCTGCACAAGTACCTGGAGCCTGGAGCCAGGGCTGAGAGGAAGCTGGATTTAGTCTCTTGTCAGCGGAAGGGGTGGGACTGGGAGCTACTCCCCTAGCAGCAGGCACTGCTGCCCCCCTTGTAGCACCCAGGATCCCAGCTTCCCAATCCCACCCTAGTGCTCAGTGGGTCAGAACTGATGCAAGGTGGCGATCTGGAGCAGGTGCCAGATTCCTTCCTGAGGCTGGGAAGAAGCTGAGTCCCACTAAGCAGCGCAGCTGTTACGGGGCAGGGTCACAGTGGAGGTGGGGAGGAAGCACATTGCACATTGCTAGAGGGGATGCACGCAGCACTAGGCAGCAGCCTCATGGCTGAGGCTCTGGAGGGACAATCAGTTTGGCCACCACACTGATGGGGCAAGGCATGAACCTCTCCCAGGCCTCTCCTGGCCCCATGGCCCTTTCTTGGTCTTGCCTGGCCAGACTGTGAGATGTGCAGTGCCAGTGTAACAATATGGCTTTTCTGTAGCCTAAACTAAAGCCTTCCTCTGCAGCCAGACTGAAGAGCAGCAGCCATGAGCTGTAATCCTGGAGTCACATCCTCACATTCCATCAAAATTGCATTAAAATAGTGTCACACTAGGCTGTGAGAAGGAGACCCTGACCTAATGGCCCCAACTGTCACCAGATAAAAACCAGTTCTCAAGATGGATAGAGAAAACTTAATTAACAGCATTTTGCCTGGCAAGAAACTATTTACCGGTCATCTGGAGAAGTGGGCTGCGCCCACGAAAGCTCATGAGCCCATCGACATGTTTTCTTAGTCTGGAAAGTGCTACCGGAGCATTTGTTGTTTTTTTCTGTAACAGACTAACTCGGCTACCCCCTGAAGCTCCTGTTTACCAGTAGTTGAGGTTGTGGAATCTGCAGTCTATGATTATTGTCCTCCCTTTCCTATTGTTAGTCTGTGTGATCTCTGTCTGGTTTGTAACTGTTTCTGTCTTCTGTATAAATTAATTTTGCTAGATGTAAATCAACTAAGGTGGTGGAGTATGATTGGTTAGATAATTCTGTTACAGTATGTTATGATTGATTAGTTAAATTATACTAAAATAATTGGTTAAGGGATAGCTAAGCAGCACTCAAGTTTCACTATATAAACTGGGGCACAAGAAGGAGACCAGCAAGAAGAAAAGACGAAAAAAGGGAAGGAGGAAAGGAACACCAAGGAAAAGGAGGGAAGACCTGGAAGAAGAACTCACCTCCAAGATACAGCCTAATACCAAAGCTGTCAGAACTCCTCTGCACAACCATGAGGTGCAGCAGCTAAGATCCAGAGAGACGGACCTTATCTGGCCAACAGGGAAAGTCTGCCTGCCTTTATCAGGGTTGGTGAGCATGACATTGTATGCTTAGCATGTGTATTCTGCTTGATTGGGAATTGTCAAGAACTAGAGAATAAGAATATTACTGTGTGAGGCTCTTTCAGTGGCAAAAGATCCTGCAAACCCATAGGAAGTTATGCCCTGAGCCGTAGGAATTGGGTAAATGTGAGTGTTTAAATTAACAGAGTTGCTTGCACCTTGAGCCCTAGGTATTGGGTAAAGATGTGTGTCCCCAAAGTACGGAAGGGATAGAGGAATTTGTGCGGGTAGCATGACTCTGTCCAAAGCTGAATGTGGCCGGCAGGCAAAGTGTCTCCCTGTTCCTTTCCGGGAGCCATGGTTGGCTGGGCAGAGGCTGCTAATATGGATGGGAAACCATCCTTGAATTCCAGCTGCTGTCTTCTTAGTTTCATTGAAGCAGAGGGGGTCCGGGAGCTGGGGAGATCAATCCCAGCAAAACAAGATGACACAGTGTGCCCCTTTGGGGACAGTTGAATTACTCCAAGCCCAGGGCTGAGGCAGGCAGGGAGTGGCCAGGAGCCTGCATGGTTGGGTGGAAAAGGTTAGGTTCAAAGTCATCCAGAGTTGAGTCTTAAAAATAGCACACATTTCTTGGCTGCGGGATACGGAGGCTGTTTCAAAACAAACCACTTGCATTTTTAAATGCCTGATTCGTCCTTGCCATCTGCTTCACCTCTCTGAGGCTTTGGACCCCGGCTTGTGTTAGACCCTTCCTTAGCCCCCACATGTTGGGAATCATGCTCTGCAGACCTGGCCAGGCCTGCTCTTGGCAGCTGGAATTGTGCAGGTATGGAGCAGGCCCTGAATCACAGGACCTGGTTAATAGAGCCTTGATGGGGAGCTGGTGGTGCATGGGAGTCTGTCCCTGCAGTGAGATCATCCACAGAGCCAGGTGATGTCATGGATCCATTGGGCAGTGTCATGGCTGGAATCCTGGGTAGCTGCAGGCAGTGTCCAGCCTTCCCATCTGGTCTAAGATGTGGTCAGGTCAGCTACACCGTGATGGTGATGACCAGGGTGGTGACTGCAGCATCAGAACCTGCTAGGGGCGCTGGGTCTCAGGCCAGCTGTGGCCCCACACAGGTTGCCCCCCTGAAGCCCCACTCCCTTTTCTACCTGAAGCTGGCCAGGATTGAGGCCTACTAGTGGAAAAGGGCTGTGCTGGGGTCAATTCAGCACATGGAGGCTAGTTGCTCAGCCTGGCACTGGGTCCAGCCCAGCATTTGGGGGGCTGGTGGAGGCTCCTCCAGGTATAGAATCATAGAATCATAGAACCATAGAGCTGGAAGAGACCTCAGAAGGTCATCAAGTCCAGCCCCCTTCTCTAGGCAGGACCAATCCCAACTAAATCAACCCAGCCAGGGCTTTGTCAAGCCGAGACTTAAACACCTAGGGATAGAGACTCCCCTACTTCCCTAGGGAACCCATTCCAGTGCTTCACCACTCTCCAGTGAAATAGTTTTTCCTAAGATCCAACCTGGACCTCTCCTATTGCAACTTGAGACCATTGCTCCTTGTTCTGTCATCTGTCACTACTGAGAACAGCCTCTCTCCATCCTCTTCGGAACTTCCCTTCAGGAAGTTGAAGGCTGCTCTCAAATCCCCCCTCACTCTGCAGACTAAACAGACCCAACTCCCTCAGCCTCTCCTCGTAGGTCATATGCTCCAGCCCCCTAATCATTTTGGTTGCCCTCTGCTGGACCCTCTCCACTGCGTCCACATGGGGATTGCTCAGGGCTCCAGCAGCTGTGGGGGACTGGCCTCCCCAAAGGGGGTTTCACTGACAGCCCATGGAACCTGATGATTTCTTCCTTCTCTTCTGACACCGTGACTGACTTCCCAGCTGGAATCGGCCTCATCCATCTGCATCATAGTATGAAGGCAGTGGCCCTATCTCTTCGGCTGTGACCTCACGCCCTGCTGGAGCAGGGCAGGACCAGACCTGCCCTGGGAACATGTGGCCCTTTGGCACATTCTTGTGGCTGGGCCTGTGGGCCACAAATGTAGCTTCAGTGGCCTAGCCTGTCAGCTTGGGCCAAAACTCCTGGTGCTGTTAGTAATCGAGGCTGGCAGCTTGAGCCCGGCTCCCAGCCAGAGGGCTGTTCCAGCGTCTCAGCTGGAATGGCGGGAGCGTATCGCCAGAGGCCCCAGCACACTGTGGAATCCCTTCTGCATCTTGTACCTGGATTTCATCAGCTGCTCCCTCTTCAGGAACAGGCAAGATTAACAGAGATCAGCTGAAATCAATGTCAGAAAAAGCCCTTTTAAGCTCTCCATGGAATCCTCTAACCTCTTTCCCCGTCCCCCACGTTCCTTTCATGGTTTTCGAAAATAACAAAGGGCTGGAATTTAATGTCTCTGCAGCAGAAGCTCTGAACCAGCCAATGGCCATCTTCCTCACTCCCTTGCCTGTCCCCTTCGTTTTTTCGCAGGAGTCTCATGAGAAGATGAGGGTTGGTTTAGAAGATAAAATTAAAAAAAGAACAAGCTAAAAATCACCTAGAAAAGTTAGATGCCTGCAAGTCACCAGGGCCTGATGAAATGCATCCTAGAATACTTAAGGAGCTGATAGAGGAGGTATCTGAGCCTCTAGCTATCATCTTTGGAAAATCATAGAAGACAGAAGACTGGAAAAGGGCAAATACAGTCCCCATCTATAAAA